GTTCGCTGAAGTTCAGTGTGCAGTTTCCAGACGGTACTAATTCTTGAGAAGTCAACAACCAGGGACTTGAATGTCTTGATGTGGAAGAGAATCCCCAGTAGGAAGATATGCGGGCTCCGGATGAGTGTGGCATCCCGTCTGGTCTCCGGACCTGGTGATGTATTGTTGCGTTGGGACACCCAGAATTACCATAGACACTTCAGGCTGAGCAAATACAGATATGAAGATACAAAAGTAGATTCAATTAAAAGTGAATGATATTCCAACAGTCGATACGAAAACAGTTGAATTTGATAGAGTTGTTTTGATTCTCCTTCAAAGAATTGTATGAAGTTTGAAAACGTTAGGAAAAATTTCTATCATGTGAGTAACTAGGCATCATTTTTAGCGCCGCAGACGCGTTAATACGCGTTTCCCCGAAACGACGTCTTGGATAACTTCAATCTTCAATGCTAACAAACGCTCGCAATTTCGGACTGTACAGGCGATAGCTGGTTTTCTATGTGCCTAAATCCACTTCACAACTATGCCAGCGTAAGTACATCATATGCACTTGCGTCTACGTCCATATTGGTTTTGATCGAACTGACGCATCGGAATTGAAAGTGTAGGTGAACAGCACCGGCCCGGCCCTGCGAGAATGACACCATTGAATACCGGCAGTGTCACGTCGAATCCCTTTGAGACTTCGGAACATCGGCTGAACCAGTACACTGCTCAACAAATCGCTACTTTGCAAAGTCGCCTTGATAAACGATTAGGTCCGGAATATATCTCCTCCAGACAAGGTCCGGGGGGCCAGAAGGTGCACTACTTAGCTGCGGAGAAATGCATCAATCTCGCGAATGAAGTTTTTGGCTTTAATGGATGGTCAAGTTCCATCCAAAATATTCAGATAGATTTTGTGAGTGGGTTTGGAGTTTCGACGGGTCACGGTTGAAGACCGGTGACAATCTTGCACTTTCATCACTGGCAGTTGGGTTCTGATTCGTCGTCCGCTATTCACAGGTCGATGAAAATCCAAATACGGCAAAAATCAGCTTGGGGTTATCTGTTATTGTGAGAGTAACGTTGAAAGATGGGACATTTCATGAGGTTGGACATTTTAGGGTTTTGCTGCCGAAATATTCTGACATGCTTGACAGGATATTGGATACGGGCATTGTGAAAACTCGAAATCGAAAGCACTAGCCTTTGAGAAAGCAAAAAAAGAAGGCACAACAGATGCTTTAAAGCGAGCTCTAAGGACTTTTGGTAACGTTCTTGGGAATTGTGTCTATGATAAGGAGTACTTGAGCAGGGTGACGAAAGTCAAGGCTGCTCCGGTCAGTTACAATATCTACCTGATTTTCCAGGTCAAACGCTGATTGATCTCCAGTCAACATGGGATGTTGGGGATTTACATCGCGATACTTCCCGTAATGTGAAGAAGGGTAATGCTCCCACGCTCGATGGTTGTTCCACGCCACAAAACACAGCTAGTACTAGGCTTTCACCTCGGTTGCTTAATGTGCCGACAGCCCAGGCAGATGAGTTTCTCCCGTTGGATCTGGAAGGTGAATTTGGAAGTAAGTTTCGCATTACCTTCTTGCTGAATGAAAAATCTAATCCGAAGAAGGTGACTTATTCGATGAGGCGGATTTTGCGGAGTCTCATTGTGAGCACCCCGATGATGTGGTTATGGACCAAGAACAGCCTGAACAGCAAATCCAGCAGAATCCGCAACAAATCCACTCAATTTCACATGAAGTTCAGAGCAACCGTCCGGGAGACACTACAAAACTTCTGAATCAAACTGTTACCCCATCGAAGCCGGAAAGTTCATGTGTTGCTGGTATCCATTCTGTGGCGCAACCGGATCTTCCACCCACGCCTGGGGACAGATTAAATGGACCTGGCCTCCCTCAAATTTCTTCAAATCATCACCTTCTCGCAAATCTCAAAACGCCGTCAGCCCAACGACTACAGCCATTTCCACAAAACAGCTCAACACCTATCCCTCCCCAACCCCCTTCACACATCCCAAACTTACCCCCACCTCTCCCGAGTGACCAACTAAAGCCGGAATCAGATTTAACCCCGAAGGACAGCCATACCATTTCTCCAACCAAAGCCCCTTCTCCTCACAGCTCTCCAATTCCTGAAGACAAACGACCTCAGGATCCTGCCCGTGGATTCTACTCCGCTCGGGCAGCCGACGTTCTGAGGAGCAATCCATATGAAGCACCTAAGTCAGCACCTGCTTTCGACCCAAGTTTCGACAGCCCGTCCATCCGGAAAACAGCAGGCATTAATCACAAGGCCTCAGCCCCAGTTATTCGCACCGTAATTAGCACTAACCCTCCTCGGTTCACAGACAACACTGCCGACTCCGTACCTTCAGGTAGCCAGGTTCAGTACTTAAATCTAACAAAATCAAGTATCCCTGACTCGACGAAACGAGGATCAGTTCCTCGCCCTGTTGGTGGTAGCGGTAGCGGCTTTGTACCGCCAGCAGCTAGGTCTCCTCTGACGACTAGCTCGTATCGACCACCTACACGAATGACAAGAAGCAATGCTGCCCCTGTTTCTGCCGTACCGAATACAAACACGGTTCCCGCTCCAGCTCAAAACGTAAACGGGAAGAGACCACCTCTTGCAGACTTGACGAACGGTCAAGGTAACGAAGATTCTAATAACGACCCTGCGAGAAAGAGAAAGGTCGGTGATGGAGATACCATTTCAAATGTCGCTACTACACGTCACCAGCAACAACCACAGCAATAACATTATTATCTAATTGTCATTCATATCCATTATCCGATCCAGCGTTTTTTTGTTGTATTCCGTTGGCGTTCAGAATCCAATATCCATATCCTTCAGCTGTATTTATGCCTCGTAAAATGTTGAGGGATATTTTGTCTTTTTGGCCCTGAGCACTGGCGAATTTCCTTTTTTTTTTTTTTCTTCAATTTGGGCAACGGGGTCCTCATAGGCGCTGCGGAGTAGGAGATCGTTTCTTATCTATTATCGATTGGTATCAGCAGAATCCAACATGGTTTTATTTTCCTCCAGTCACCTATCCAGATTTCTCTCTCTCCTATTTATCCTCCCATTTTCACCTCTTTTGGGAGCCTGATTGAGAAATGGCGGTATTCATCTCAATAATCTCTATTACATCTCGTGGCTAATACTTGCAATATTTAAAACTTCAGCGCTACGGTGCATGTACCGCGCATTACATATATTGACACATACTTCAATGTAGCATATACTCCCTCTGGGCGACGCTCCAACCTCGAAAGTTCATCTTAGTGATCAATGTCCCTACAGTGCTCTCGTTGAGGATCTGAGGTAATTGACAATGAATAAGATCGTGATGTTAATCCTGACCGAGTAGCGAAATCAATAGGCATGACGATGAAACCCACAGGACAGCTTAATTGGGATTTTCTTGGAACACAGTTAAGTACAGCATTGCAGGAACTTTGCAAGAGCGGAAATTTTGCATGGAGTTGTGGGGCCATATTAATGGCCCACTCTCTCTTTTTTTTTTTTTCTTTTTTTGGTGGTTGGTTAGACATTTCTGATGAGGAAATGGAAAGGGAGCCAGAAAATAGAACATCCCAAAAAGTTTAGCAATGGGCAACAGCTAGTAGCCATCGGGAATCTTCATAGAGGGCTCGTAAAATGGTTCTCCACAGATAGAGATCACAACGCGCAGGATGAAAGGGCTAACTTAATTGTCTCAGGGAAATGGGAACATATCATTAATGATTAAGAAAACAAAATAGGTGCTGGAAAAGAAAACCGGGACACAAGCAATTTGGGCTACATCTTCAACCAAATCAATACTTCCTCGCGTTCATCGAAAAGCTGCGTGGTTTTGCATCTAGCAAGCATCTTGCCGCCACCGGCAATGTGCGTCACTTAGCTCGCCCATTTAGAGCTTGCAAGGTCGGATAGCTTTTTCTGGCACTTCAACGGTCCGCGATTAGTCGTAACCTCACCCATTGAGCGTTTAGACACGGTAATGCCATGCTTTGCCAGTTCTGCCGCAAACATGTTATTTCCTCTTGGGCCATTTTCTGGTTTTACTGATGCGGGTTGCTTCCTTGCGCCTTTGGGTGAGGTGGAACCAACCGTCGGCATCGCCCATTTGGAGTTTTCGAGTCCAAGAAGGCGGTGCGGGTTATTTGAAGAAGGCATAGAAGAAGCTTCAGAATTCTTACGTCTAGAGCTCACAGTGTATGGGTTGCGGTTTTCCTGTCCCGCTGGTGGTGGTGGGTCCTTTCCTCTGATATCAGCATCGGACACTGCACAAGAGTATTGTAAAGTTGCTGCTGACACTGGGAACTTGGCCTCTAAGGTTTGTGTAATACTCGCGCCGCCAGGAGGTATTTGATGAGCCGGAGTTGAGGCGCCAGGAGACTGTGATGTTGGTATTTGTTCCTGCCGGTGGAATGATGCTGAAGAATATTGCGCCGCTGCAGCTGACTTGATTAACTTCGGGCTAACGCTCGACGCAACGGACTTCATCTGTTCGCTTGAGGTGGCCAAATGCAGGCCGAGGGGGATAGGATGCAGTTGGGATGGTACAATAGGGTATTGTACCGTAGCATTCGCACCATAGATACGATAGGACGATAGGCGGCTTTGCTCTGGCGAATGCTTCAAGAAGCTTGAAAACTGCTGTGTCACGGCAGACAAAGACTTATCGTGTTGAGCGTGCGGAGGAACGTTATCTTGATTAGCAGAGCTCTGAGGTAGCTCGGGAGTGGGGTGCATGTATTGCCGCGTTGTTGCGTTGTCAGGGACACTGGGCGTATCTCGCGCACGTAGTTCATTGATGGAGGGACTATGAGTGACCACTACTGCACCACGCGACGGAGACGCTGCTTTCCCAATAATGGGAGTGTGGGTCGTAGTGACGAAGCCATGAAGGCTACTTTTTTCACTTGCTACCTTTGGCGTATCCAGGCCTGACTTAATGCTCGAAACATTCCTTCCTGGTAACAAATGGCTACCGATAATATCGCATACTGAGCTGGTGAAAATAGATGAAGTGGGTGAAGGAATGGATGGCGCACAGCTGCGCATGGGTGACACTGGTTGAGGAGCAATATTTGGCGGGCTAAAGGGCACCGGCTGAAACCCCAAATCAGGAACCAACGGGACTTTGTCCGTTTTATCTGCGAAAATTTTTGGTGCCCGCGGGGTTAGTATTTCCTGTGAAGTATTATGCTCCCCGATTGATTGCTGATCTTCCAATGTAAGTGCACTTAACGGAAGTACAATATCACTCTCCATTTCAATAGCTTCAGCAATTTCTCTTTCCAATTGCTTCTTCCGGCTCAACAGATAGGTTCCTATTCCCGTTGACTCTACAGGCTCATCACTGTCGTCAATAATCTGGTTGACTTGGTCCAGTTCCTTCTGTAGCCTCTCAATAAGCAGGTCAAGTGCTCCCTTCACAGCACCATTGCTAGCTCCATCCGATGAATTGCTGACTTTTATAGCGCCAGCTGAACCGTCTGTTAACCCCGGTAGCAGCGTCTCCATTGATGCGGCAGTAGTACCCAGAGTAGGAGATCTAAGGGCTAGTAAAGACCCAGAATCAAGCTGCCGAGAGCGCAGAGGGGACGATGGGTTGGAAGGTGATCCGGTTTTCCATATCAGGTCTATCAGGTATGTCGACTCCTCTGACGCGTGAATCGGCTGTGGAAGGCTTGATCTAAAACCCTTCTCTGTCTTTCGTTCACTCAAGTCAGTCGGGCCAGTTCGAGTACTATCAGAGGGGAGGCTATCTACTTGAATAGCCCAAGGACTTTCCGCCGTTAACTTGGTATTCTGCTCCAAAATCATGTCTCCTTTGAGATCCAGTTCATCCATGATAATAACGCTAGTATCATCATTTATTTGCGTTTCAGTTTCTCCTTTGATACCTCCTTCCACTACGATTCTTTTACGTGAAGTCCCTTCCTTAGTATTGGCTTTCTCATTGGCAATATTTTTTTTCTGATTGATTGGAATACGGCAATGGACTGGCTGATGTGCTCTGCCGATGGTCCAAGAGGCCCCGAAGAACCGGGAAGCATTATGAACTTTTGCCACTGCCATGAAGTCTGACGGACCCGGCAAGCATTGCTTCAAAATTGGCGCTTTGATACTGCCATCAGCTACAGTAACTAATAGAGGGGGCCAGATTTGCAACCTACCCTGGATCAACAACGCGTCTAGTTTTGACCGCACCTAAGCGGCCTCGCCCACGGAAAAATTTTATCACTTTTGGTGGCTTTTGGAGCAGCACCTAACCCCTTATGTTTGGCGTGTTTTCCAGGGATATTATCATCCACTTCGGGGTGAAATGTAGGATCCAGATATTGGCACCGGTCTGGGGGCCTTTCAACAGGATAGCGTCCAATATGCCCAAGCACAAGCGGTGAATGGATATTTTTAGGGCCACTATGATATCAGTAACTGCTTTGGAAACAAAATTCAGGGAATTAAGAGTGATTCACAGTGGTGCTTTTAACAAGTTCGCACGACCACCACGGCTCCCCATTGCTCCCGCGCCTCGCCCAGGTATTTTAGAAGCTCTGGACGATTGTCCATTTCCGGAGGGCCCTTTGGGGGGAACAATGGGGTCGTGAATATACGCCTGACCACCCTTTGCTCTAATACTATCAAAGAGTTGTGCACGGTGACTTTGTCCGGACATCATGTCGTCCAGATCTTCCAACTGGACATCACCTCCAATTGTTTGGTGTGCATCTTAAGACTCTCAGTTAGTCGAAATACAAAATATACACCACTCAATGAATAACGACGAACAGGATACGTACTGTTCCAGGCATTTAACTGAGCCCTGTTAGCTTGTGCGATCTTCTGGACCTTAGAACCTTTTATATTGGTTGCCCGAATGGCCTCGATTTGATCCAATCCAACATGGCGGTACTTATTCGGGAGGTCAACAGTAGATATATATTCACGACGTGCAGTGCCCAGATCCGCCTTTAATTGTACAACTGATGTCAGCATATAGCATAGGCAATAAGTTATGGAACTCAGGAGCAGGATATTCATATATTGGAATGTGCGTAAATACCATTTGTAGCTCCTGCATACGTCTCTGACGCTCTTCTTCATCCATAACTTCTGAGAAGTTAGCAACACTTCTGGTCATTAGACATATTTCGACCCTCTAGGCGGCTGTCCCCTATCCTTAAACTTAGAGATCAAAAGGAGGCGTACTGTATAATTAGCGTCAGCTTATATTCTAGGCCCACGCAATTTAGGATAACAGTAGGCTCTTCCTCAGGCTGATTTTGAGAAGAAGAAAAATAGAAGAAATCGCTTAAGGGAGGAACAGTTGTGGAAGGGGAGAAGCAATGGCAAATGGCAATGGATCTGAAAAGAGGAAAAGAAGATAGGATGGGTTTTCGTTATACCCTGGGGAGCAAACGATGGGACGATAACAAAGTTGATGAGGTTTCCCAGTGTTGGGATACTGAGGCACACAACAAAGACCCAGCAACCCAGCAACCCAGCAACAGAAATGCACTGCTGTGGTGATACTGATACTGAAGTTGAGAAAGTAGTGATATCTCAACTGTGAGAAATTAGAATAAAAATGATATCAATGCCCTTCAAGGCAGAAATCATTCAGAA